GCTTTTAGCACCCATGAAGTATAGGGATCGGTCCCATTGGCATGCGGGGAGTGCTTAGTACAATGCCTTGTTCTCATCACTGGAGTTTCTGAAGTCTGGCTCACCTCAGCACCATCACAAGTGCTCAGTTAAGGTTGCACCTTCCTTTGGTTAAGGGTGCACCTCAACATAAGTCATATTTTCCCTCACCAGTGCTGCTGGTGAACATGGGAGCACAGATTTACCCCACTGTTTCCCACCCCTGTCAGTCTCTAGGTGACTTTCATAACCCACCTTTTGATGTATATCATAAAAGTTCCTCCATTTCTTTTCTGTGATGGTCAGTTCAAGTCTCTAATATCCAGGAGATTCTCTAGTTTTGCTCCCAGTTGTGGGATCCTCTTACTCCCAGTGCTCCAGTGGACTACCCAAGAATATCTTCCTGGAAATGAAACAGGGAAACTCCTCAGCTGATGCAATCTTCCCTGACTCTCAATAGTCATTTTATTAAAATCTGTTATGTAAGTATAAAATTCTGGTTGGCAAAGTGAAATTGCCCTGCAACTATATTAAGTTCTTTTTCATTTTTATAACCATCATTATTGCTCTTCTCCCTGTTTTTAAGCCTGATATAATGTAAACCTTGCTTACTCAATTGATACTAACTACATGAATGCCTTATATTTCCCTGATTTTTATTCCTAGATAAATGCACTGGATGAATTTTTCTCCTGATAGATCCTAAATGTCAGATGCAAGAAGGAAAATAGAAACTGACAGAGTCTAGTATTTTATAGGATCAAAATAATTTCTATTCAACATTCTTGGAATTTTGTAGAATATGCTTATAATATAGAACCAGATAACTACCATCACTCTGTGGATCCTTACTGTTACTACAAGCACAAAAAGAGGAGAATAGTAGACAACAGGTGGGAGGAAAGCACAGTAGAGAGTGATGGAGGACGGTGGGCACTTTGGTTGTGGGAAAACTGTGGTGACCACACCCGAGGGGAGAAATCATGTACTGTGAAAAATGAGCAAGGATGTAAAGTTTTAAAAATAATAACCTTTAAGAAGGGTGTATATCATTCTTCCACCAATGGTGTGTTTTAGGCCAATCATCTTATTACCTAGAGGTCAGAAGCATTTGTTTGTCCTTGCAGTGTGAGTAGCAGATTTTTTTCTCCCACCATGATGCCAACAACAGCCACTGAAAATTTATTTCTATATTACATTTGTCTGTGAATGGTGCCATATGTGACCTGGTTAACACTTTGCCTGTCCCTGGAGGAAGAGACAGCACTACACCATGGCATGATAGTAGATCCCCCCTTCCCCCCACCAAAGCTCTTAGCCCAGTCCCGGCCACAATAATGTGACACCAAAAATAAACAATGGGCAAAAGGAAAAACACAACCTAAGTCCTCAGGAGACCAATGTACCACAAAGAGTAAAAAAATTCAGAATCAAAAAGTAAAGACATGAAAGAATATTTATTCTTATCAAGTACAGAATTTATTATAAATAAACAGATAAAAAATGGAAGAATATGAAGAAAACTCAGAAATGCAAATGAGTGTTATGAGAAATAAACAGATTAAAATCAAAGTTTAAATGAAAAGAGTAAAAGAGGAGATAAAAATTCAGGAGAAAGCTATAAAAATAGAATTGACAAAGTGGAAAGCAAAGCACTGTACTTGAGGATATGAATGAACAAGAATCTAGATAGAAAAAGGACATGAGCAAAGTAAAAAATGAAAATGAAGAAACCCTGAAAAATATTCAACTCCATGAGGACAAACAATATAACAATAATGGGTATACCAAAGAAGGAAAAGAGAGACTATCTCTCTTCTGAAGGGAAAAGGAAAAAAAAATGTATTTAAAGAAATAGCAGGGCTTCCTCCGTGGCGCAGCAGTTGAGCTCCACACTGCGAAGCTGTCCGCAGTCTCTGCAGAGCCGGTTCAATTCCCCAACGGCCAGGGAGAACCCCACATGGCCTGGCAGACCTCTCTTGCCTCGCCTGCTGCTCCCCTCAGCAGTGTCTTTGGTCCTTCTGCCTGTTCTGCTCCCCGCTCTGGCTCTGGTGAATTCTCTCACCCTCCTGCTTCTGATCTGTACCCAGTGCTTGTATAAATAAATAAATAAATCTTTGAAAAAAAAATAAAATAAAATAAAAATGTACTGAAGCCTCCAGAATTATCTTTTCATCTGCAAGAACTAATGATGAACATATGGGGTCTGGGATGATTGCAAAACAAAGACCCAAATATACATTTGAAGGAGTGGTTGTGGTCTTTCGGTCGCAATGGGTAACCAGACTGTACATGTGAAGGAAAAGACCATTTGAGATTTATCAGGGAGAATATGCCACAGGATTAAAATGTAATCGACATTAGAAGTGGAATAGGGCTTGCAGAAGAGCAGTACCAGGAGGATATGCTATTAGGACCCTACTAAAGTAGGGAAATCCAATTTATACCACATTAGCAGCCCTGAAATCAACTTGACACTCTTAAAATCCAAGTCTTAGGAGTAAAAACATTAAATAAGGCATACTCTAGACCTGGCCAAACACAAGCTAAAGCCAAATCCTTAGTATGCCAACCAGAAAGAGAAAATTCGGAAGTTGAGTTATGGAGCACCAGAGAGATGTACAAAACAACCTGGACTTTCCACAAATCCACATTTCCAAAATATAAAACCAAGCCTACTCAGTTCAAAATAATCCTCCATGATATGAAAAATCAATATTCTTCTGAAGAAGAAAAAAAAATCCAAATATTTTATAATGACCTGTATTTTTTTCAGGCAAAAAAAAAAAATTATTAGTCTTAGCAAGATGGGAAATCTCATCAATACTCAAAAGAAAATGAAGTCAATAAAAACTGAATTTATGTGACACAGATATAGAAATCTACAAAGATTTTATAACAAAACTTTATAAATATATTCAAAACATTAAAAGAAAAATTTTCAAAGAATTAAATCACTTTAAGCAGTAATCACCTTTCATCAATGGATGCTAAAAATATCAAATGAGAGGTTGATTGAAACTGAATAATATATGGATCAGAATGACATTATATAAAGCCACTGGCTATCCAGACGAACAGCATCACTAAAAATGGGATTGTTTGCCTCACAATATGATGCAGTAGAAATACCATAGCTAAAAAGTTAACCAAGATCCAATCAAAGTCTACCTCAAAGTTAGTTTTGTAGTGTAAGTGCATGACAATTAGCTCTTTTTGATTGTAATGACATTAATCTTTTGATTGCTGAGGCATTTGTTTCAAAGACATCCATCTCAAATAAAACACTGCCTCTAATACAACTAGACAAAGAACTGTCCCACCCATTAAATTGCCCTAGGATAATCTAAATAATGGATTTCCTGAATGACCTGGCCTTTTCCATCATGTACTTTAATTCCTGCTTTTATGTTTTAAATTCACTAATACAGAGTGAACCCACGAAACCCTAAGCACACCACCCTCCTACCCCAGTAAAAGTGAAGCCTAGGCAGAGATGTTGAGGTCCCCACTCAATCTTTCTACCCAACACCTCTCTGTGTAGTGACAGTCACACCATGCACCCTATACGACTGAGTAATCAAACTTGATTTTTCAGGTCCCTGACAGCGGTTGTTGAGGTGCATCTTGCACTTAATGTTATTCATAATAAGAAACAGAAAAACCATTCCAGCCACAACACTGGCTCTTGGATGGAGAAATGTCTATATCAAAGCTTGCCACAAGTAGTCCCAGCCCATGTGAGTACCCCCAGGCATTCCTAGTCAGTAGCATTGCTATGGAGAGGTTGAGAACAACACAAAATGAGCTAATATAAAATGTAAGATATAGGGAAAGATCTAAACAAGACTATAAAGAAGCAGTAAATTCTATTTAGAGTATGGGACACTCTATAAGACAAATAGATTTTTCAATAAATCAATGGTATAAAGAAAAGAGGGAAGGGGACTGCTATAAAACAGGGAACTAGTAAATATATCAACAAGATACATTGTGTGAACCTTTTTGCATTTTAATTTTAAGAATTTATTTTAAAATAATTGAAGAAATTTGAACATGATTTGTGTAATATGTAGCATTGAGGAAATAATGATCATTATAGTGGCAGGCATGGCATGTTTTTAAAAATATCAATATCAATCAGAAAGCATTATAAATATCTGCATGTTGAATATATACTTACACAATATCTGGAATTTGCTCCAAACTTTTCCAGAAAAAAAGGGAGCTATAGTTAATTGAAACAGTGTTGACAAATGATGATGTTGAGGGTGGATGGCAGTTATATGAGGTTTCATTAAAATAATCTCTTTTTGTGTATATATGAAATTTTCCACAATAGAAAGTTTAAAAATTAAAATACATTCAGCTTTATTTTTTAAAAAATATACATATCCTTAGACCTGGTGATTCAACTCCTAAGAATTTATTGTAGGAAAATCTGAATATAAATTATGTGTGTATGGTGAAAGAATTGAATACAACTGAAAATTTCCACAATGGAGGATTATTTAAACAATTCATGTTTAGCTATACAAGAAATTCCAGGACAATAAATAAGTACATACTTGTTGAAGTGGAAAGATGTTCAAGATACAGCATGCAGTGGAAAATCAAACTACAAACATCCATGATCCAACTTGTTTTATATATGTATATATATATATATATATATACACACACACACAACTTGTTTTATATATATATATACAAGTAGCCAATATTTCTACATTTGTTTTTTGTATCTACTTTCTATATTAAATGTTATAGCCTACTTAATAAAAAAAAATAGTAAAAGATGAAGAAAAATCTTCAAATTAGCACTTGAAAATTGTTGTTTTTCCATTCTTTTCTATAGTAACTACAAATTGTTTCACAGGGGGAAGCATCAGAATACAGCAAAATTATTCCTTCCTAACCAATCCTTGAAGACACCCAATGGAAATATCCAAAATCCAAATGAAATCTATAGTTATACTCCTTCAATCAAATATTCCATTTTGTTTATTGTAGAAAAGCCTCTGTAGTGCCTGATGAACCTCCTTATTCCTCAGGGTGTAGATTACAGGATTGAAGAGAGGGGTGACCACAGTGTAGAGCAGGGCAAAGATCTTGGAGAGGAGCTGGGAGTGGACAGCAGAGGGTGCAATATACAAAACCATCAATGTTCCATAGAATGTGGACACAACAACTATGTGGGAGGAACATGTGGAGAAAGCCTTTCGCCTGCTGGCCCCAGCTGGAATTTTCAGCACAGTTGCCACAATCCAGGCGTAAGATGTCAGAATCAGTCCAAAAGGAACAGTGAGGCAGACCACAGAGAGTATGAATGTTGTCATCTGGGCTATGTGGGGATCTGAGCAGGTCAAGTTCACCAAAGGCGTGAAATCACAATAAAAGTGGTCAATGTGGTTAGGGCCACAGAATCTCAGCTGGACCATCAGGATCACAACCAATCCATCTACCAGGAATCCAGAGAGCCAGGCTATAGTCACCAACACCAAGCACCACCTGGGCCCCATCAAGAGTGGGTAGCGGAGTGGGTAGCAGATTGCCAAATAGCGATCATATGCCATGATGGCTAACAGCAAGCATTCAGCTGTGGCTAGAGAACCAAAGATAAAGAACTGGAGCAAGCAGCCAGCTACAGAGATGGCTACCTCCTGCAAGAAGCCCTCCAACATTTTTGGCACCACTGTGGAGGTATAGAGGATCTCCAAGAAGGACAGATTAGCCAGGAAGAAATACATGGGTGTGTGGAGCCTCTGAGAATTAACCACAGCCACAATGATTAGCATATTGCCTATTATAATGGAAACATAGATGACAGTGAACACAATAAATAAAAGGGGATGAAGCTCAATTATATCATAGAAACCAAGAAGAACGAATTCAGTAATAGTTTGGTTTTCTATAGAGACAATTTCCATGTGAATTATCCAATTTTCTTTCTGGCAGTGATTAAGGGAGAAATTTTAGTGAATCTCTATAGCTTCTTCACCAAACCTGAAATAAGTAGGGTTAAAATGGAAAAAATAAAAGTGAGTCTCCGTAACAAGCAGCACTTTCACAAGTTTTCATCTGTCTTTCTTTTCAGTTGCTTACTCCCTCCCCAATTCCCAATTCCCCTGCATTCCTTAAGAGTTTATACAAACTCACAATTTCCGTCTTTCAAAGTTCTTTATCTTGTTAATTCTATCTAAAGCCTCTATTACAAAGTAAATGCCATCATCCCCATCTGTATAAGCAGCCATAGCCTTCTTCATGAGCACCAGCGTAATGTCTTCCAAATGCCACTAAATACATTCGACAATGAGCACCAAAAATCAGTATAATCAGCAACACACTCTTACCTTTCCCGTCACAATCAACTCTACTAAAATGGATTGAAATTTCTGCTTGATACTCAAGCATAATCTATTGTAGTCTTCTTTATCTTAACACCCTCTCTCTCTTTTCCCATCAGTGAAATCTCATCAATTGTTCCTTGGAAAATTTTTGTATGTTCCCGACTCACTATTACAACGTATTCATAACTATCTTACACGGTTTCCTCCTATGTAGCTTTCTGTTGTTTAGTTTTCTCTATCTTTTATCAAATAATCTTCTTTATTACTAATTTCATCAAATAATAACATAATTTGTAGTGGAATCATGAAAAATTATGCTGACTAAAGTGTAGGTGCTGTGGTAGCAGACAGACACCAAGCCCAGACAGGGGTCAAGGAGTATGAGAATCAGGGTCAAGGAAGTCATTCTTAAGAAAGTATTGGGTTAGGGGCCTCCCCTGGTGGTGCAGGCAGTTGAGCGCTGTGCTGTGAGACTGTCTGCAGCCTCTGCAGTGCCGGTTCGATCCCAGCCGGCCAGTGAGGGTCCCAGATGGTGCGGCAGACCACTCCTGTCTCGCCCACTGCTCCCCTCAGCAGTTTATTTTGTCAGTCTGCCTGTTCTGTTCCCCGCTCTGGCTCTGGTGAATCCGTTTACCCTCCCGTGAATCTGGCCTGTACCCCGGTTCTTGTATAAATAAATAAATAAATCTTTATAAAATAAAATAAAAAGAAAGTATTGGGTTGGCAGAAAAGTCATGACATATTTTTCTCCATATTTTCTATGCAAAAATGCGTCATGACTTTTCAGACAACCCAATGGTTTGTAGGTTTAGTTTTGAAGATATAAGGCAAAGACTATATACTATATATATACACATACTATACAACATATATTTTTTTCATGTGTGTCTGTAGATACCAAATCCTAACAATGTTATTTAGATGGTGTATTAAAAGAATATTATACTTATTATCTTATATGAAATGTAACTGCTCTTAAATACAAACAGACTAGTACATCAGTTTCCTGAGAGATGGAAATTGGATGAGTAAAGACCACTACACACTATATTGTACTGTTCCTGAGTTCAGATCTGTCATTTGCATGTATTCCATTTCTCAATCCCCTCTCTATTGCTACTATCAGGTCTTCAAAAGTCCAATGTAAATTCATCTCCTTCATGAAGACCCCTTGATTAACAGAAGCCTTAATTCTTGAACAATCAAATATCAGGTATTTAGTGACAGAAAATATTGTGCTAGGTACTTTACCAATGCTAAATTAAAATAGCCCATATTCTTGTGTAGAAAATAAACACATCAATGGAAAACCTCAGTACACAAAAAGAGGTGAGCAAATACAACCCGGAGGAGATACTACTGGAAAGCAGTGACCTTGAACTGATTGCTAGGAAAAAATAGAAAGTATGGAATTGAGACATTTCAGGTAAATGCATCTGAATAAACACTGAGGCAAGAAACAGCACGGACATGAAGAGAAGACAGCAGGGGAAAATAGTGAAGAACAGTTCAAAGAATTTCACTTCTGAAGAAACACTAGAATTGATGTGAAGAATGGTGGAGAATAAGAAAATAGAGAGGTAAGTCAGGGCCAAAATGTGGAGGCTGTTTCCTATTATGTGGATGAGCCAGAACTTAATCCTGTAGAAAACAAGGCACACCTGAAGGCTTTAAACACTAGGGCAGTGTGGTCCAATATGCACTTAAAAAGTACTAGGGATGCTAGAACCTAAGTAACAAGGATGAGAAAAGGGCTGGCTCCATGCAGCTGAAACCTAGTGTGCATAGGTATGCCATTGATTATTCATTATTTTATTGTTTGTACTTTCTCCTCCGCAAGACTGCTAGTTCATTTATCACAGAGATTAAAGTAGATCTACTATAGTTAACAAAGTCCTAAAGAAAGATGTTCTAACGATAAAATACCTACTCTCTAAAATGACCTTCCCTATAGCAAAAGCTCTGTGAAATGATTGGAGTGAGATTCTGTGCTAAATAGAACTATAAACTCCATAGGTTCTGTTAACTGTCCTCTAACTCCTGCCACTCAAAGCTATTCCTTTACCCTATACCCTCTTTGTGCTTCCTTGTAATATGAATTTGGCAGTCCTCTGTGAAAGTCCTTTAGTTTGTTTTTTTGGCCCAAATTCAATTTAAGGTTTGGATTTCTTTCTACAGTATTCCTTTCCAGGAAGAGAAGCGTCATTCAAACGAGGTTATAATTCCTCAAGTAATAAATAGCTAACTGCCACATCCCCAAGGAATCAGTGTCAACAATGAATCATATAGACTCTTAACAATTTATAGTTATAGTGAACAAAGGTTTTTATTTTAGATTCCGTTCATTCACCCTCCAGGTCATAAAATGTAACCCTTCTTTTCTATGACACCACTTTGGCTAGCTGAAATCAGAAAGAAACATAAAGAACAAAAAATAAGTTTCAAATTGTACTGTGAACTTGACATAAGCTTATTGCAATCAATTTCACAACTCTGCTCTAAGGAAAATATTACGATCTCTCTCATTCCAACTATCCTGATTATTTCAGAGAATGCAGAATGAGTATTAGAAGAAATCAGGGACACTTAGGGAAAGGTACTGATCTTCAAATACTAGAGGGTAAAGATGGGAGAGCAGTAAGAGGTATATGTCTCTGAGTGGTAATCTGCAGGGTCCTACAAAAACTTTCATCTTGGTAAAACCTAACAATGAGGAAGAGATAGAGATTTATTCTGTAGACAACAAGGCACCCTTGAAGGCTTTTAAACAATGGGGCAACACACACTGTGAGCGCGCACACACACACGCACGTACACACACACACGTACGCACACACAATATGGGAAGAGAGAAAAAACAAGCATTACAATATCCCCAGGTATCATTTACCATCATTATGCCATGGAACAAATACTAAAATATGACAATTCATCCAGGATGTGGTTAGAAGATAACAGCTTGGGTGAGAATGAAAGCAAAGAGTGAAACACAATATTAGGGGGCTCTTGGTGTCTTAAATTATTTGCGAATGAGGTGAGAGAAGTGTAATGCATGAACAAAAGAAAATTTTGACTTCCTAATCCCAAAGTAAACATCTAACAAATATATTGTCACAAATTTGCTAGCAAAATCTGTGGAAATATAGTTTTACTCCATCTCCATAATCACACTGTTCTTGGGAATGTTTTAAAAGTTCGCTCACATGTTTTTATGTTTTTTATGTTTTAATCTGAGAAAAAAAACTGTTTTTATGTTTTAATCTGAGAAAAATAATGCTGTTTTTTTTTTTTTTTCAGATTACCACATTCTCAAACCTATTTTTCAAAGGAACAGGAAAGGGAATAGAGAGAAAGAGGAAAGTAAAGAGAAGGTATAGTAGGGTATGAGGATTATAGAGAACTTGAAAAGACAACAGCATAGAAAGTGAGTTAGACATGGTTATTACATAAGAAACAGAGTCAGAATAGGGGAAAGAACTGAGTTTAGACTTGGGAGACTCCAAGGAATGGTGCAAAATTTGTAGTTATAAAACTTTAAGAAATGCAGGAAATGTTTGATATCAAGATGAAAAAATAGTGCAAAATATTTGTATTTCCTGAAAAATACCTAATCCCAGACTGTGGCCTATATAGTAAAAGACATAGCCTTCTGGAGAAGGAATTTAAAAAAATTCCAAGAAAAAAATATGTGAAGAATAATATATCAGACTGTGAATTTTAATTTATCATTCAGAAATGAGAATAATTTTTTCCTCTAGTATATTTTCATAGTCTAATAAATATGTCATTTTTATAAATAGAAAACAAACAGTAAAGAAATTTATTTTGAAATCTTAATCTATTGACTAGTAAAGCCATTTTGGAAATTATTCAATAATAAAACAGAAAACACACCAAAAAAATCATTGTAATGTAACAAATTTCAGTAAATTCCAGTTTTGTTACCACTCCAGAAAGTAGGGGAATAAATTCCCGATGTGAAAATAATTGGTGTATGGATTCCCTACACTATACAACATATTCCCACTGTTGCTGTTCTCTTGAATATCTACTAATACCTGCTGTTACCCATCTCCAGAAAAAAGGAGAGATCAAACTGCACATGCATGGGGCTGGGAGGGATTAAGGTAAGCGTAGTTAAGCGAAATTACCAGGATGGTGTCACTTAAATGTGAAATACAGAAAAAATAGACAAAAACAAGCTTTAAAACCAACCCTTGAAAGCTGAGCATAGATCTGTGGCTTTCAGAGGAGGAGGGGTGAGAAACAGGGTTCAGGAGTGGGGGAGAGCACATGGACTATGTTAGAGGACTGTGGGTGCTTTGGTGGTGGGAGAGCTATGGTGTTTGTACCTGGGGAGGGAAATCTTATACTGTCAAAACACTAGGAAGGATGTAAAACAATAGTTAATTTCAAAAGCAACTTATAAAAAGCAATAATCTGCAGCAAGAAGGACTAAAAGTCAACTTCTTAAAGATCCCAATGAAGTAGCAAAATTTTGAATCTAGAAGATATGAAATGTCTTTAAATGTCTTTGAAAAAGAGGCTTTTTGAATGTCTGAGCTAAATTGTTACTGAAT